TGGCGGGGCCTGTGTCTGTGTGTGTGTCTGTGTGTGTGTGCTTGTCCTGCCAACGCTGCCCAGCGCGTTCCCGCACGGCCCGGGCACCGCTCGGCTCCTGACGCCTTCCCCCGGTGCTTCCCACAGGCGCAGGGCCGTCCTTTGCGTTCCCGGGCTCTCCAGGGAGCAGCTGCTGAGCGCTCCCCTAACATGGCAGGTAAGAACTAGTGCCGATGGAAGACGAACCGGATGCTTTTGCTACCAAAAAAAAGAAAAGACTGCAGCTATCATTCCAGAAACCAGAACAAGGCGTTAAAGAGGGTGTTTCAGAATTAAGACATGCTGCTCCCTTCAGGCCTGGGCACGCTGGTATGTGGCCTGTCTGTAATGTTTAGCTGGGGTACCGAGGTGTGACCTTTGCAAATGACTGAAATTACTTTAAAAAGTAATTTAAAGTGCCTTTGAAAACGCCAGTCTTTGCAAGGACCGTGGCCGGGTGCCCTCGGCTTCACTGAAGTGGAACCCAACTGGCAGCTTTGCAGAATTAATCACAGCATCCTTGATCTTGTGTCATCTCCAGCCACTGATTTGCCTACATGCTGAGAGTAAAACAGTGGAGAGGTGACTCCTTTTGATATTCCAGAATAAGTTATAGGGCAGGGTTTTAAATAGTTTATACATGTGTTAAATTCATTAGAGCACCTGACTGTTACACAGATTGTAAATCTTTTGGCAAAACTATTGTCTCGTGGACGCTGCACACTGGAGAAATAATCACCCCTTATAATTTAGGTTGAAAATGAGGTATTGTTTCTTCAAGTCTTTGGCTCAAGCTCTAATAATTATCTCTGTCACCTTAGGCTCACCTGTCACCCTCATGGTGCTCGGGGCTGTATAGCTTCTATGTCCTCTGGAGAAAGGGAACTCAAGAAATGCCTGAGTTTTTGTATTGGCAGTTACGAACCAAAACCTGTATGCTTTGCAGATCCAGTCATTTTAAATAATCCCTGGAAATGTCCTTCTCTGTTTATGTATAAATAACTACTATCACATAAAAGTATTTCACTTTTCCTTGTGTTCAGTGATCTAAATCTAAAAAATTCTCTAATTTTTTTAGAGAATGATTAAAATGGAGTAGTCTATGTACTGTGTAAGCAGTGCTGTGCTTGCTCTGTAAGCACTGATAGGCCTTGCTACATCAGCTTAAGAAGCCCCATCCCAACGTATCCATCTTGCCACAGCTTACCTTGAATCTGCCTTGTCAGCAGCTTAGATACACTAGAGAGCTCGCTTTCACATCTAAGAAAAAAAGTGTTGCTTTCTATCACTGTGATGATGCTGAGGTGGTATGGTCATCTTAAACATTTACCCCGATACCACTTGCACAGCGTGGAACTGAAAGATGAGGGCATCCCACATTGCAGGAGGATGCTCTGAGCTCTCTCAGAACTTGTTTCCACAACAGCTTGAGAGAATCTAAGCTGGCACTGCTTTTATCCCAGCCTGCTTGTCACATTTGCACTGTAGCTTATCTGATCCAGCCTAGGGGGTTAAACCAGCAGACAACCTTTTTGTTTTTCTGTTGCTGGCGAGTTTTCTAGGGGGGAGCAGTGGAGTGAGATGAACACAAATGCTGACTCAAGAGGAGAGACTGGGTTGTGCTGATGTAGAGTGGTGTGACCTGCTATGGAAAGGCACCCACTGTCCACTGAGTTCCACCTAGGAAAGCCCACTAGAGCACAAAAGTTCTGGATGACATGTATTTTTTGTTTTCTTTCTGCCTCCAGGGAGAAAAGTCCTGATAATCTATGCACATCAAGAGCCCAAGTCCATGAATGGATCTTTGAAAAAGGTTGCTGTGGAGGAGTTGAGCAAGCAGGGCTGCAGTGTCACAGTGTCTGATTTATATGCAATGCAGTTTGAACCAAGAGCAACAAGAAATGACATTGTTGGTGAGACTAGCTAAAATACACGTTATCAACACTAATGAGTCAAACTTTCAGTTTGTCTATCCTACCCAGAACGTTAAATGCACTCTGAAAAATAGTTGCTGTTACTTTGTTGACAAGATCCAGCTTTTTATTTTCTGTTAGCATTAACTAAGAAATGTCAGTGTAGGAACCCAGTAAGTATCATTTAAATAAATCTTATCACTAGAAATGGCCCCTGAGTCAGAAAAATTAATTATCTCTATAGTACAGATTTTTAAAAGAGCATTTAGCCTTTAGACTAAAGCAAAAGAAGGAAAATATTTTTACAGTACTTGAAATCAACTGCAAAGATGTTCCAAGAGCAACCTTCTCTTAACAAACAAGATTACAGATGCTTTCTGCAAGTTAACTCCAAACAAGCACTTGGACTTTTGAGTTGTCTTGACATCTCCTGGCTACCTTGGTAGTATAGGATTACTAAAAGTGACTAGATGATGCACTTAAGATTGAGAAAAAGTGATGCTCTTGTTACATTTAAGTGATATATCATTGTGGTCTTGCTCACATTTAGCCCCCGTAGTTTTCCAGGTTAGGAAGCACAAAGCCATAACATAACCTGTGACTCTTCAATTTAAAACAAGAATCAAAAAGAAACAGCACAGGTCTAATGTAAGCACTGGCAACAACAAGAAGAAACTTATTAATGACCTGACCCAAGCATTTCTAAATGTCCACTCCTGCATATGAACCTTGGCTTATAGTGACTTTACTGAGAGGCAGAAATGGATCAGCATGTGTCCACAGTCAGTCTCTGAAACCAGCTTCTTGAGGGTGATAAATGCTCTCAGATACTGTTCTTTGACTTGCTAGAGTTCCGTTTATGAAGCTACTGCCTCCCTCTTCTGCTAGCAATTGATTATCTACTAGTTGAATTAGCAGAATGAATGCATATGTCTGATTCAGACATACTTGAATCAGCTTGCCCAACTATAGTGGAATCAGCAGAGCTGGCCTAGTACTGGCTCCCCAGCCCCTGCTTCATTTCCCAGTTACAGAGTCTGAAGAGCAGCTACATTGTGCTTGTGACTGTGTGGTGGTTTCTGCAATCCCTAATGCAGAGACAGAGCAATTGGCAAAATTATCTTAATATGTCTTAAATCAACTATCTGCATCACCAGAGTCTCAAGCCAAGCTTAGATCTTTTAATTGCACTTCACATATTGCTACAGAAAAGTGAAAGGTTTTAGTACTCTGAGGTATTAAATTCCTCTCCAATTTAAAATCAAATCACTGTCAGCTGTGATGATGCTAAATACCCACCCCCAAAAAAAACCAAAACAAAGCAGGAAGCAGGGTGGGGGACTCGAAAGCAGTAACTCAATTGAGAACTGTAGATTGCAACATGTATTTAGTTCTTATTTGGCTCCAATGCTAGAAACAGGGCTAGGAATGACTGTTCACTTCTACCCACAGGTTGCTTGCACAACTCAGAAGAGTTTAATTATGGCATGGAGGCTTGGGAAGCTTACAAGAGTGGACGTTTGTCTGATGATGTGATTGAAGAGCAAAAGAAGGTGCAGGAAGCAGACTTACTAATTTTTCAGGTCATTATTTTAGATTGTATTAAAATATACTTAAGTTATGATATATGGGGCTGAGCAAAAGCAAAGTAGTAGTGAGAAGATTATAGATTTCATTAGGAACATTGAATCTAGCCAGAGTAAAAAGAGGTGCTAGCTCTGCAACCAATATAAAATAGTTTGTATCCAGTGGAGTAAATTCAAGGTGTTGTGTTTTCCTGGTATGATGTGGGCTTTAGAAAGTATCACAAGTACCAAGTCATGTGTGAGCCTTTTTTGTGCTAGCACAGATAATGAGATTTTCACACAAATAATGGCTCCACACTGGGATTTTTTGAGAGCAGGAAGGCATCTGAAATTAGAACCCTTAAATACCTGAGTAAAATTCACAGCAGTGCTTCACTTAAAAGTTGACATTCAGAAGCAGTCTGATGGCATAGGTTTTGTGAAAACTAGTCCTCACACTGTCTGCACTCTGAATCAATTGCATTGAGCAACTCACACCAGAAAGTATTAAGTGCAAAATAATACCATAATTCTCAATACAAGAACCATGCCATGCTATCAGGCAGTCTGGTACTGTCCTTTTGTCTTGGAGTTCATGCAAAGCAAACACAGATCTGCTCACAGAAATGTGTGTAAGGGCTTAAGGCAGCCCTGCCAAGTTGAAGTTTGGGAAACAGTAACAAACACCAGACCTACAGCTTTTGAAGTGTACCTTTTATCTCTAAATAGTGGTACAGTAACAAGTAAAAATCAGCAGTACAACTATCTGAGTCATTACAGCAGCAAATCCAGTAATTCAGTAGCACAATTATCCAAGTTGAAACAACAGCAAATGCAGTAATTCACCAACACTAGGCCAAACTTCCTATCTGAACGCCCGGAGACGTACGTGACCGCAGATGTCAAGAAGGCTGGCAGAAAGCAATGCAAGGCTGAATTTCTTGGGGAGCAGCTGGGAGCAGCCAGCAGGCTCAGGGAATTTGGACTTCCTTGACCAGACTGTCCTCATTTATTGCCAAGTTGCAGAAGCACTATCTGGAATTGCTAATGGATCATTACACTGCCTCTCCAGTTTCCACTGTGCCAGCCCTGTCCTCCCTGTCTACAAGTCTGAGAAGTAGCATGTAAGGCAATCTTAGCCCTACATTTGTTTTTGTGACCCTTGGCCCTAGATGTAGCCTATATATATTCTGATGTCTGACTCTAGATTAAATTTAGTGTGTGACCATATCTCAATTAAGCATTTCTCATTTTTGCAGTATTGCTTCTAAGATAAGTATAATAAAACATCCCCCTGAAGGAAGTGGTTGCTTTTAACTTTCTGTCTGCAGGAAGATGCTAGGATGAGTTTAATATGTTCTGGTGTAGAAAAAAAGAAGGAAAAAGCCTCTGAAAGACACCATGAAGTAATTTAAAATTTACTACAGACTAAGCTCATTACTTCTAGAAATAGTGGTGATTGCCTAGTTTCCACATTGTCAGTCCTGGTAATTAGGTTCTCTGTGTTCATTTTTACAACATTCATTAGATCTTATGTTTCTTTTACATTTCAGCAATAGGAGACGCAATTCTGTACAGGCTTAAGTTTGAGTTAAATGGCACCTTCCTGCTTCATCATATTGCAACCTTAATTTGTGTGGAAGCCTTAACATACACCATGGTGTTAGTGTGCTATAGATGCTCAGGTATGTACCTGAGACTACTACAAACAGAAAGCACTTCAGTCATTTTTCCCAAGCATAGTTACTTTCTCCCTCAAGAGAGAGCTGGAAGAAGGCATGTATGAAATCTGAACAGATTAAGATAATAGGATTTGGCCTGTAGACCAGGCCTAAGGATGGCCTGGACTCTCTGTGCTAACAAGGAAATCTACTTTTTGCTAGTTTCCCTTGTATTGGTTCAGCATGCCAGCAATCATGAAGGGCTGGATGGACAGAGTCTTGGTCCAAGGATTTGCTCATGAATTTCCAAACTGTTACGATTCCGGTTTGCTCAAGGTATGTTTTTTGAGATTGTTCTATTAAGACCAAGATTTGCACAATACTCTCAGAGGTATTGGTCTTTCTTTTCCATTGTATTTGTTTAAAGCTCTCACTTTATGCTCTCCTGAAATAATGCATTGGTAACGTGTTGGGTAACTTTCTAGCCTGTTAAAACTTTCTGAAAGGTAGTACAATAAGGGGAATGCAGTGGTTCCTAGAGACTTTTAGTGGGCCTACAGAATGGGCTTTGTAATCTGTCAAGCATATCAGAATGTATTGGGATGGCATACAGTTTGCAAACAGTTCAAGTCAATCCATTTCCTAAAACTCTAGTCTGTCATTCTTCCTGCCACTGTAGGACTGCACAAATCTGTAATGAGTGACATACTAGAATAGGTGACAAGATCCTGTTCTGGAATTAGATGTCAAAGATTGGAATGAAACTATAAAACTTCATCAGAAACCAGAAATACCCAGTGCACAAGCCCCCAGTTATCTCATTTCAATTTTTTCTTCTCTGTAGCTTCAAATTTAGGAAACATCAGTATGTCTAGGTGACAATTCATAAATCTCTAATTCTCTGTGGCACTGGGAATATCCCTGGAAAGCTTTGACCCACTGTCTGATGAACCTTACTTGGTAACAACTGCAGCATCCAGAAACAATCAATTTTAGTTTCACATTTATGTTCACTCCATATTGATCTCTGTCATTTCTGATCACCTTAACAATTCCAAACATTCCAGATTGCTTAAACTTCAGAATGTCTGCCTCACTGAGATGAATAGGAGTAATCTCCAATGATCATAGCTGCATGATGAGTGCAGGCTCAAGGCAATTTGGATACTGCACTGGAAAAATGTTATTTCAATTATGGAATCTAAAACTGAGAGGACAGAAGCTGAGCACAAGCCCAGGGTCTAGGACAAGTCTCTGCTGCCAACTCTCCACTGGGACATCTCTGCATGGGGACATATCTCCATGGATTGGCAGCTTACACAGGGCTTTGCCAGTGTCCTAGCACAGAGACGTTCCTTCCTGCAAGGCCATGGCTAATACCATAGTTACAGAAGCAGAAAAAATACAGGGGTTTAGAACACCTGGGGAATAATTATTCCTTGGCAAGAGACAGGCAAGCTCCAGTTTGAAGAGGACTGTAGCATTGAATTTCTGCACTGAGGACAGACAGGAATAAAAATATTCTCAGTAACAGTGCACTTTCCAGCCATAGTTTTCCAAACACTGCATAGGGGAGAACAAAGGTCAGCCTTGCTTAATGCAAGGATATCATACATATAATGTTTCCTTTTTAACCAGTCTGCCCAAAACCCAAAAACAGTCCACGGTCTAGTGTGTTGTAAATCTTTGCCTCAGAGCTGCCCCTACACATAAGGTGTGGGCAAGAAGAGGACACCACCTCCTCCAGAAATTTATGTTGTCTAGGTTCCCCTGAGTATCTCTTGAACTATTCAGTCACTCTGTTTTAAACATGCCTAACTCAAGTGCTGCTTTCTTAATTCTAGGATAAACTAGCCCTTTTTTCTTTTACCACTGGAGCAAGCAAAGAGATGTACGCAAAAGGAGGTATCAGCGGTGATATTCGCTATCTCCTGTGGCCCATGCAGGTATGTGAATATTTGGTTGTTAGCATGATTTTTATTATCCTGATTATTTTAATAGTTCTATTATTATTTCTTTTGTATTAAATACAATGTAATTATATATAGTTAAGTTGTCAGTTTCAAGCACCTGCAGGTTATAAATTGGGCCCTAAAATCTTGAGACTACATTAAACGTTCCCAGAGTTTCAAAGTTTTGTGCCCCTTCCTCCAGATTGGAATCTGGCAAAAGCTTACACTGTCAACCTTTTAAGTTTCTCTGGATTTCCTGTAAGGTAAGGCAAATTGTGCCACCTACTTCTTGATAAAATACAATGGATGTACTTAAATTCTTTGTTTTTCTACCCATCATGATTACTCACTGTCTGCCCTCATGAGGCTATCTAGCTGCAGAGTTAATACAACAAAGAATGTGAAATGTAGCTGTGAATTCAGAAATACAGGGAGAATAGCAAGTTGAGATTGTTTGAAAAGCATTGGTCTTCATTCAGGATTGTTTGGCTAAGCCAGAAGCAAAAGGTTAAAAAAAAAAAATACTTAAAAGGAGATGAGACATACACTGTGGCTCAGGAACAATCTGTGGAAATCCAAATATTACAATGAACTTTAGGCTGTCTCTGATCCTTGCAAATTTAATAGCATGTATCAGGCAAAGAGAACAGTTCTATTGGTTTAATAGCACTTAAAAAAAAAATCTACAGAGCAGAGTAAATGAAGTTAACCTTATTTTTCAGTGTATTGTATATCATTCTGCCAAATACCTAGCCATCAATAGTGACCAGGACAGGTAATGAACTTTTGCAATTTATTTCCTTTCTCTTAATAAACACACAGCTTTAGAAAACGTGTCTTATATTGGGTCAGAGAAACAGTTTTAGATTTAAATCTTCGACATTCTTGAACTGAAAGTGAAAGACAATTTCCTGAGGCATCTCTTTCTTTGCTTTGAGTCCAGCATGGAATCATGCACTTTTGTGGAGTCAAAGTCCTTGCACCTCACATCTGCTTTGCTCCGGAGTATGTCTCTGAGGAGAAGAGGAAAGAGATGCTGAATGCCTGGGCCCAGCGTCTGAAGAGTCTTTGGAAGGAAGAACCCATAAACTGCTCTCCTGAGTGGTATTTCAAGTAATGTTCAGCTACAAGACTACAGAGAGAAGATTTTCTTTTCTTCATTCTTGTTGGTGCCTTACCTCGCTATCTGAATGTTAATGTCCCGATTTGAACGTATTGTAAGTATCTTGATTACTACAGCTGAGAGCTTAACTGACAATATAGTATTTATCTTCATTGATTCCTGAGGAATTCTGTTGAACGATGGGTGTAAATCTCTGTGAAGAGTTATTCTTGCTCATATAAACAGTAACATCCTGCCTGCAAGTTAACACAAGCAGTAATTGCAGTTTATTGCATTACTTATTATGAAACAGTAAAATACATTGCCAGGTTTATTTTAACACTTTGTGTACCAGCTGCCCCTTCATTTTATGTGCCAGGGAATATTATGGAATTGTTATGGACAATCATGTTCTTTTAAATGAGCTTGACATTTGTGCCTTTGAGCTACAAAGCCAAATCGTGAATCATGCATAAGGATGCAGAGTTGCAGAGTGACTTAGCTGAAAAGTCTCGGTGACAGCCTTCGGCTTTTCCACATATTTACAAAGCAATATTAAAGCTATGACAGATACCAGAAAAGGGAAAAAAAACCCTAAATACAAATTTCATATAGCAGTATGCACATGCATTGCCTGCCTGTATAGCATGAAGCTCATATTTGTAAAGTATGCAGTTTCCTAAAATAAAATAGTTCCACTTCTTGCTTTCCTAAGTAGAAACAACAAGGATTCCTATCTGTTACCTGCCCCTTCACACTGGTCAGTATTGCTGTTTGTATCTGGAGGGCTGGGTGCATCCCCTCTGGCATATCCCACCCAGGCAGTTGGCAAGGCAGAACACCTACCCAAAAACCTTTGGGAGCACTATGTGTCTACAAGCCAGGACCTAGTGGGATAAAATTACTGTCTGCCTTTTAACATGCATGATTTTTACCATGAAGTTGAGCAGGATTATTTTTGTGCTTGAGAGCTGTTAACCCTTTTTGTGGGTATGGTAATGGGTGGGTTTCTCTCTTAGCTACACAATTTCTTGATTTGATCAGCTTACCTCATAGCTGGCTTTGGACTTTGATATTAAAAGAACGTGGCCTGAATAAGAAAACGTCTTCTGCGTCACTGTCAAATGATGCACAGGCCTCTGCACAAAGAGTGTGCATCTGCCATATACTCTTTGTAGAAGCCTTGTCACGCCCCACCCTAATGCTTCTTAAAGAGCTATTTGGTTAATAAACATGCTGAGCCCAGATTCTGGAGTAGCAGTGTAAGATGATACACCAGATTGGGAATTGCTGCTGCAGGGCAAGACTCATATGTTCCCATTTGTCACCATAGGGAGCACCTCTAGCAGGGACAGACCGCTGGGAGCAGTGCTGCCCTAAGCTGTTGCAGCTGTTGTCTGCTTCAGTGTGTATGAGTCAAAGTCTGAAGTTAGACCAGCAAGAAATTTACTTTGGCTCAGTAACTCTTCTATAGGAAAAAGAAAGTGAAAGGGAGTAAAATGGAAAATATTATGCATGTAAGTCATGGGGAAATCAGATTCTTGCCTAGAAGACTTAAGGAAAACAAGTTACCTTAAAAGCAATTTGCAGATATTGAAATTGTATAGAAGAGGAATCATCCTGACATGCACTGTTGTCAGTTACCAGACCATTCAAGAAATAAGGAAATGAATACGAAAGCAGAAGTTGAAACTGTCAAACCAAGTGTTGCTGTATTGGATCAATCACAGTGCTCAGTGGGTTTAACTGTTCCATGGAGACTCTCAGACTGACCTATATGATGAAGATACACTTTTCAACACTACTGGACAGACACATGCAAACTCCCCCCCACACTGTAGCATTAAGTGCCTGTATTAGAATGGATTTTTATAATGTAAGCATAGAAGAGTGGCTGTGTGAGGACAGAACAAAGATTGCCCTTCCCCAAGTTTGGTTTTTTTTTTTCCCCCACAGTGGTTATAGGTCAGGAAGAACAAGCACTTCCCCTGAATAATGATCCTGGGCTCCAACTATACTTACTTTGGGGGACTTCCTGAGCTATGTGTTTTCTCTCTATTTACTAAGCCAAATAGATCTGTGTTCTGAACTTTTTTCTGGCTTCTCTTGAATTCATGCCAACTTGAAGCAGCCAATACTTTTTGCCAAAGTTCAGTGTGTCAGCTTTTTGCTTGCATGAAACACTGGAGTGGAGAGGCATACCAAGGAGGGTGAAACACCAGGTTCCCAGTAACTTTGATTCCTTGCAGTCAACAGTAAATTATCGGTCCTACCCACTCTTTTACATGGTGCCTAGCGTTTTGTAGATGTGCATCACCTCCTCCCCTAAATTATCTCCATCCCAGGCCATGGAGTCCTGTCCTGCTTAGTTCCTCCAATAGCAGGCATTGACCTTTGATCACCTTTGTTGCTTTTCCCTGACTCGTCCAGTCTGACTGTCTTGTTACTAAGAAGAGGGGACCAGATGCTCATGCAGAGTCAACTCTGTGACTTTTGGATCCACATGTCTTTTTCTGCTGCTTTCCTAAAAATCTCTGACATACAATTTGCTTTAGCCAATGTTTTCATCTGTTGTAACCCTAGATCTTGGCCATCTGTAGTAATGGCCAGCTCAGGGGCCATTGTTTTATACATTGATTTTTTTCCTCATGTTTACCACCCCCTTTACATAACTTGAATTTCACTTCCTATCTCATTGCCCAGTCAGTCAACCATTTTTCCACAACTCTTCACTATCTGCTTTCCTTGTCCTCCCCACTTCCGGGTAATCATCAGCAAAATTTTTCAACTTCATAACTCATATCTTTTTCCAGATAATTTTCAACAGCTCAGGTCCCTGCACTTGTAACCTTCTGTTCTGAGAGATGCCCATTTATTGTTGCCCTCACTGTCCTATCTTTTAAATACATCTCCATGCCACTACCTTTTTTCTTATCCCCTTCCTGCTTAGTTTCCTTTAAAAAAATGTATACAAAACTTTGTCAAAAGACTCTTGGAAGTGCAAGTGGACTCTATCAGCCAGGTCACCATTCTCCACACACTAACGCGACCTAAAGTAAATTCTTCAGGAATATCATTCCAATTTGAAAGCCACTGTACAAGGGGATATATGATGGGGAGGAAACTAAGAACCACTATTCAACTGTAACTTTCCATAGTCAATCTCAGTCCTCATCTGTGTAGTCTATTCTCATATGTAAATTGTTTCACATGCCCCGTAGTTCTTGCCACTTTCCTTTATTTTGTGTCTACCTCTCCTATATCTAGTCAGAGAAGTGGTAATCAGAGCTGTGAGCTGTATCTTGGCTGTGGACATGTAACAGATTAAGGCACATTTGTTGAAGGGTGCTGCTCTTGCAATGCTTTGGAAGCCAGTCAGCTGTGCAGTGGCAGTGGATGCTGAGCCAAGACTTCGTGTCCTTGTCCTGACATGCGTTCACTGCCTGCTGCATAGCAGAGTGCAGAGCCCCATGCATGTTTTGGCACATGCCTTTCAAAAACTCAGGGGAGAATGCTATCATGTAGAAAACCAATAGAGAGTGGTCTGTGGTTAATAAGGAAAGGAAGTGGCAGTATTAGTTTCTTAGAGGTACTTGAAATGTTAGAACCATTTTGATCTAAAGAATGATTGCCCTGCTAAATCATTTTATGCTACAGGCCAAATGTAGTCTTGTCAAAACAGCGTTGATTACATCAGAATAAAGCTAGCATTAGGTGGGCAACCTGGAGCTGTGTTTCAATGTGGGGGGAAAGGCAACATGCTTTCCTTTTCTAGTTAGCCTTGGCATTTGTTTTTTGCTGCTGGTGATTCTCCTCTCCCACACACTTTCAGGCAACAGTCTGGTCTTTTTCTCTGACAAGTTATTCCAAAAAGTCTTAATTTCTTCTGGTTTATGTGCTGAAATGGCAAATGACACATGCTTGCAGCTTCAGAAAACATAGGGAAACAAAAGGATCCCCATCTAAACTGTGTTATCAAGAAGCCTCATAGCCCAGGGAAACAAACTGATTCTTGTGGTATGGTACTTTTAATCCAGGTTTCAAAAAAACTAACATTTAAAGGCAGTTGAAAGTATTTCTTTCCTTGGTTTAATATTTGATGCCTGGGACAATGTCACTGAGGTTAGCTGCCTGCTTGCAGAGGAATATACTTTGCAGTAGACAAGTTACCAAGAGGTTGTGCTGAAGAGAGGAACAGCCAATAATAAATAGCATGCATAATTAATGTAAAACATTTTTTTTAAGAAAACTCCTGCTATGTTAGTAGATATCCTAAAGCCTAAAGAACCTATGTGCAAGTGATGCAAAAAATGTAAGCCCAGGTTGCTGTCAAGTTTTAATGCTGGGTAACTGTCTCATCATTCTGAGGGTATTAAAATACCTACAGTGTCCATACAAAAATGAAGCTCTAAGATCCATTATGCTTCCTGTTAAGTTAGGTGAGGCACTACAAATAGTAGCTGAGAGAGCAATTGCAGCCTTAGTTCCAAATCTCAAGTATAAAAGCATCTTTGACGATAAATGTTTGGGGAAGCAGAAGGCTTAGTCAAGAGCAGCAACCTCACATTTCAGTAGCTTCATTTTAGGTCCTTTAACGTAGTGGCAGTAGTTGATCATTTCACAGACAAGTCAGGGAAATACCAGTTC